ACAGACACAGACACACACGCGCACACAGACACACACGCGCACACACACACACACACACACACAAACATACACACACATACAAACATACACACACACACATACACACACAAACATACATACACACATACACAGACGGGGTCGTCTCAATATGCGTTTTTGCAATTTGCATATAGGCAAAAACGCATAAAAACCAACTACTAAAACTCGGCTTCACTGTTACCCTGCACCGCTGCTAAGCCGTTTCACGGCGAGTCTCATCGGCGCCACTTGGCAGTTTGACAGCGCTCGGCTAATGGGTCGCATACGTTGGGAGGATTGCACGTGAATGACGGGAGAGGCGGGGAGAGGAAGAAGGGGTGTTGGTTGGTAGCTGTTCGAATACAGCTCAGGGAGTACGAATTAAGACAGGATAGATAAGAGGACCAAGGAAGCTAGTGAGGAGTACCGAATGATTGATAGTAATAGTGGTTGGCTCTGCAGGCAGGGTTCGAGGACAGAGTGGACGAGAATAAGCTTATTTATGAAGCTGATGCTTAGGTAAAGCTGAGACCTCTCAGCTTTACCAAAACATCAGCTCCACTTTATTCGCTCTCAGCTTTATAGATAGGGAAGTTCACTACTGATGGCGGTTTTTCATTTGCTTTTCTTGCTTTTAATTTCTTCTTGCTTCCTTCCTTTCCACTCACCATCCCCTTCCCTCTCCATTACACGGCCTAGGCAACGACGAAAGGATCAGCGCCACGTGGCCATTTCACCCACCCACCCAAATCCCCTCCACTTGCCTCGAATTCCCGCGGGAAATCCACACACACCATTCCCCTCATACCCACACCAACTCCTTCCTCGCGTCTCGAATCCTACATCCTAAAAATATGCGCATGCATTGCCAACCGTCCCTCCTCCTCCTGTCCGCCTTGCAGTATACCTCCTCTCGAACTTTTCCATACCCTGCCTATCCGCGGCAAAACCAGTAGTACGGTCTTCCTCCCCGCACTTCACTCCCCTCTCTCCTGCGTGGCCTCGCTACGCTGTCACTCAATCCACCGTACCACCCTCTCCCTCTACCTCTAGTCCCTGCGCCCGGAACCTGAACAAAAAGCTCCCCTCCACCACGGCCCTATCTGCGGCATCCAGCGATCTATGCCGCAGCGAGGTAAAGGCACCTGAAAAAAACGGCCGCAGATCGTGTATGGAATTGGTCGAGTCGAGCCGATTCGAACCGTGGTTTAGTAACCGCCCCTAAAAAAGCTTACCAAGGAAATGATTTCTTGTATATTTTGGGCAACAATTCAAACATAAGTGGGCGCTGTACACCAGTTCCTTTTCGAAACTGTCCCTAGCAGCAAACGGTGCTCGAAATCAACAGTTAAGCAATCCTGTATTTGGTCTGGCCATCAAAATACATCCGCAAACTCTACAAGCTGTTGCCGAAAAATAAACTTCTCAGCTGCGCCAGGAAACAGACACATCATACATTGCTACTCATTTTTTTCAGAGATCCAAAATCACTTGGCCTGATAATCCTTCTGCTTTGCTCAATGCGTTGAAAATCCATCCTGCCCAAGTAACAGGAAAAGACAAATCTGCGCTCATTTATCTGAGTTTCTTCTTACAATATCACGATACGGGAAAATGCTGTTGCAAGTTTGTAGATTAAGACTACGAAATAGCTATTAATACCAACCATATATGGATCGAACTGTGCATGGAATATGGAAGCGATTGGTGATATCAAAACAGTGATAAAACAGAATAATGATGAGACTAGTAATAATAACGGCAATAAAAACAATAATAGAGACTGTAGTAATCGCAGCAGCGACAATAAGAATAATCGTCCATTAGTAACATTAGCCAAGGGACGGCAGTAACTATGCATGAATTCAATCCGTACCCCTCCACTTAGAGACTGAAGGGCGCCAGAATCGATTGGCAGCATAGAATCTCTGAAAGTACTCATCGAATTTGATTGTAAAGCCTTTTCAATTTCCGACTCCCTTTGAAAACTTAGTTCCTCACAGCCAGAAATGTGTACTTCTGAAAACAAATTTACCGTCACTGACCCAAGTTTTGCCTAAATCCAGCTGCTTTCGTTCCAATCCTTTCCTCTCACAGCACAATGTCCTCTCTTTCTCCACTCCAGAAAACTATCTCAGACTGTCTAAGAGGTCCACGACTCCAAATTCCCTGGCTTTCCATAACCATTTCTCTCCCTCCTTTGCTCCAATCTTCAAAACAAAGTTCTGCTTCTAGAAAACGTCACATGCATCCAAACACTGATTCGACGATGAGGAAAAGAAAATAAGCGGTAGGAAAATGTTTCACAGTCGAAAAGAAAACGGCCGAGCTTATACAGCAGTCATGAAGTTGGATCCAGAAAAAACAGCCTACCTAGCACACATTATAAAGGAACTTCACACATTTCTATACTTCAAACAGAAATCTCAAAATTCCATGTACCACAAAATATATGTCAGTACAGGCAAAGTGAGGTTTGATCAATGAGGCTGTCCATAGCGTATCTCACAATGTCGTTTAAAAGATCTCATTAAAGGAATGACCTGGATATTAACAACAAACAATTCAAACGTTTAAGAATTCGCGTTTTTTTTCTTCGCGTAAGCAGCGATAGCAATATGGAGATGCTGCAGGGCTACAGCACACTGAGCGGGTACAAAAATCAACACAAACAAACTGAAATGAAAATTACGCATGGCAAAAGCTGTGTTCAGGTTATGAACCTGGCTCAGGGTGTGAACATGCTCATAAATTTTCAACCGCTGCATTGCAGCGGGCCAGTATTTGCCAAAAAAACACAAACTATAACACCGATGGCTTCGTATGCGAGGCAATGCATCCCAGAGACTCCGAAGAACTCTGATTTTGGTGAATCTTTATCAGGTCACGTGTCAGAAACTGACAACCACTCAAAGCAACTAACTGAAAACCTCCAAAGAGGTTCGTACAGGTGACGGAGATTGCACTCGAAGGCAAATCGCCTAGGGCAACATCAACTGTTCAGCGTGCGGCCGACCCCACACCAACAACCTAAATGATTTTTGCAATAAAGAGTGTAAAAAGCAGTTGATAAAAGAATACGAGGCTCTGGAAAAAAAGAACCTTCCTAGATCAATCTACAAAGATAACAAACATCTCTTTGTTTTCAAAGAGCTTCAGAATTTTCATCAGAAAGCTTGTTTTCCAGCATAAAGGTAAAAATGTTGGTTCCCAAATGAAGAAGTGGTGGGCTGCATAACGTTCGAAGAGACAAATGATTGTGGCTGGCAGCGCACAGCGTTTCCCGACGGTCGCATCTGAGCGTAACCAACGTATGAGGCATATGGAACCGCTAAGTAACCATTATATGCAATATTCCGCGGGTAACGGCCGGATGAGATATACTGCTGACACTGATTCATTTGAGAAAGCTGCACAGCAAAAGAATTTACTGCTGCATTTTTGTATGGCATAGTTCCATACGTAGTGGTGTTGATAGCGGGGGCGGGATACACCATAGCATTGACAGGCAAAGCTGGGTATCCCATCACAGGAGACTGGTACTGATTGAAGTTGTAGGGTCCCATCCAAGACTGCTGCTGCTGCTGCTGCACATTATTATATTGATAAGTTCTTGCTGAAGAAGAAGCAGCAGCAGCAGCAGCAGCGGCGGCCGCACAACTGACCGCAACGCTCGGTTTTTCACCAGCAACTGTTTTTGGAATTACCTGAGAGCTGCAGTTGGCGGCGACATTCATTCCACCATTACTCTGGACATCCCAACCGACATCACCTCCTCCACGGTCGTTCCGGGTATCTTCTGCTCCACACTTCTTCTGGGCAATGCATCCATTGGCGGCGTCTGCTTCATAATTATTGCATACGTTACACTCGCTGGCAGCATTTGTTCTAAAGCCGTTCGGCGTACTGCTATCGATGTCGGCTTTTGTTCCACAATCATCAGAGACATTGCAATTTGGAGGAACTTTTGTTTCGAAATCGTCCCGAATGCCGCAATCAGCAGCAGCTGCTGACCCACAACCGTTTCGGACAGAGCAATCGCTAGATGGATCTGCTCCGCATCCGTTCTCGGTATAAAATTCAGCAACATCTTTTGTTTCACGAGCATCCGTAAACGTGCGTTCGGCTGTAGCGCCCACTTCAGAACTATCCTGGACATTACATTTGGTATCAGCTCCCACAGCACTGTTATTCTGCATGTGACATTCGGTGACAGATTCTGACCCACAGCTGCGCTCAATTTTCCGTTCGTTGGTTCCATCAGTTGCACAACTGCTCTGGACATCACTCTCAGCAGTAGCTTTTGTTCCACAGTTATCCTGCATACTGCATTCGGTGACAACCTTCGCTCCACCATCGTCTCGGCCATTGTCTGCTATTGTTTCACCATCACCTTCCACAACTGAAGCAACGGAAATCTCAGACTCGCATTTGCTCGAAAAAAATCCTTCTGCTGAGATGTCCGCGTCGCTATCTGTCGCTGTTACAAAACTTGTGGTTTCTGCCTCACTGAACGCTGACAAATGCAGCATCTGCTGCTGCGCTGTCGAATTTGGGACTTGTCCAGCTTCCTCTTTTGCTGACGCATCTCCGGATGCCTCATCAGGCATATTGCCCTCTTCGGTTTTTGCAGCCTCCGATAAGGGTTCCGTCAGTTGTTTCTTAACAGCTTCCAAAGGCTCTGTTTCGTCGATAGGCTCACTTAGCTCATCAGCTTTCTGCAAAATGCATCCCTTCAGAAGTGTACACAGAAGCAAAAATAGAAGAGAAGCATGTTAAATCCAGCTACCGCAGAAAAAAAAATCTATAAATACTAAACGTGCAATCCCAACTGCCTATGCTACCAATTCTCACTGCACCAAGTCTGCTTAGTAAACTCATCTCGGTGTTACTAATGTACCTCTCTCTCAAAAAAATACCGAACTAATCAATTCAGTAGGGTGTGCATGGGAATCAGCAAACTCTGGATGTACTTCAAAAGTCATTTCAAAACATAGTAAATCATCAACAGTGTACGATACTCAACGGCTTCTACTGAAACCTTGTGAAGCATGTTGAAGATGACTTCAATTCCTAATATGCCAGCGAACCTACTGTGACTGAAACCGTATGAAGAACAGAGCGGGGACACCAGTATTTTCGCTGTGTCGTCAGGAGTACGATGCGTTCGCACTGCTATCGCCACCAGAATCAGCACTTTTGTTGGGGTATCTTGTGTGTTGGGGACTGCAGAGGGCCCGTGTGGTATTGATTGGTTCTTTTGGTTTCTTTTGTTGATTGCTAGGCCCAACAAGGTAAGCCAGTACTTATCTACTTGCGAAACCAACCATCAAACTGTAAAGGTATTGCACTCTTGCTTTAAAGGAGCGCTAAAAACATTTAGATGCACTGCACAAAAGCTGCCATTGAAAGTAAAAGAGAAATTACCTCGAAAAACTCCTGCACAGCTATGCTTTGTCGGAGAACAGCACTATTGAAGATATAATTCAAGAAAGTTGTTATCGCCACCACTCTTTCACGAATAACTTCATCACGTCTATTCCCAAAAATAACTCCACTCGGAAACTGCGGAAATGCTCCATGCAACTGCAGCTGGAAAAGCAAAACAGAATCAGAATGGTATCCAAATTACAACTCAAAAAATTTGAACAAAAAACGACAAAGCACTCCAAACGTGTTGCACTGCATAACCCAGGCTGGAACGCACCAGGCAGGCCGATGCGAATATGCGTTTTTGCAATTTTCGTGCTATAGCAAGATCGCAAGGAATCACAGTAGGTAATTCTGTGACATGCTGGCCCACGAAATTCGGGAAGTTATTTGTGCAACTATGTGGTATGTCAGTTGTAGATGTCGACTTCAGTGACCCGACAAATGAAAAGTTGCTGGTCCACAAAAAAGGCCACACTAGAAGAGTTAAATTTGAAATCTTTTAGTCATACATGAGTAGGGAATATTCCCTTAAAATTAAAGCTTTCAGCTTTTCCCGTTTCCGAGTTAACAGTTTTCCCATCAAAATTCTCACGTGTCCACACGTGAGTACCGGACGGTTTTAAGGAGCTGAATTTAAAATCTTTTGGTCACACATGAGTAGGGAACATTACCCTGAAGTTTCAGCTTTCTAGCTTTTTTCGTTCCGGGTTAGTAATTTTTGCGCCAAGATTTCCCACGTACCCGCATGTGATTCCGAGCGGTCCTAAGGAGCTGATTTTGAAAACTTTTGGTCATGCATGAGAAGGGAACATCCCCCTAAAGCTCCAACTTTCCAGCCTCTCTCATTCTCGAGTTATGAATTTTCCCGCCATAATTTTTACGCGCCTGTACGTAAGCCCCGGGCAGTCCTGAGCAGCTGGTTTAAAATCTTTGTGTCATACACCGGTAGGGAACATTCCCCTAAGGTTTCAGCTCTCTAGCTTTTCTCGTTCCCGAGTTATCAGTTTTCC